GACATGACTGAGCGAATTTCACTTTCACTGAGTCTTCTCCATAGACAGTTTCTGCTTTTTCCTTACATTTGCCTAGTCTGAAGTCCCTATTATGAGCTACAAAGACCAGAAATTGGGTCTTCTGGCAGAAACATGAAAATAGTGAAAGCCTCAGCAAAGACTTTTATCATACTCATAGCTACTGACTCTACAGGCAGTAGACTATGGAAACAGACTCTTCAGTGTAAGCTGATATCAGGATGACAGATAGATACCTGTCAGACTACCAAAAGATTAGAGTCAGGATTTCTAGGATTCTTAAATCCAGAAGCAGGTGACTTTGTGAAATTGATTGCTTCATCCAAAATCAGAAAAAAAAAGAATTGTTTACCCAGGACTAAATTAGTTAATTATGACTAATGTCCTATATCTAATGGACATATAAGAAGAAATCCATTCTTCTTTATTTCAAACTCTTGTTTGGCCACACTTGTACAAACTGGAATAAAACACTCTTTAAATGGCTTTGTTCTAAAGGAGGTTTTGGAATTCAGAAAAAAAAATTCTGTGGAAATCTTAATATAGCTTATTGTTCAGTTCAGTTTAGTCACTCAGTCGTATCCGACTCTCTGCGATCCCATGGACTGCAGCACGCCAGGCTTCCCTTTCCATCACCAACTCCCAGAGTTTGCTCAAACGCACGTCCATCGAGTTGGTGATGACACCCAACAATCTCATCCTCTATCGTCCTCTTCTCCTCACACCTTCAATCTTTCCCAGCATCAGGGTCTTTGCAAATGAGTCAGTTCTTTGCATCAGGTGGAAAAAGTATTGGAGTTTCAGCTTCAGCATCAGTCCTTCCAATGAATATTCAGGACTGATTTCCTTTAGGATGGACTGATTGGATCTCCCTGAAGTCCAAGGGACTCTCAAGAGTCTTCTACAACACCACAGTAAAAGCATCAATTCTTTGGTGCTCAGCTTTCTTTATAGTCCAACTCTCACATCCATACATGACTACTTGAAAAACCATAGCTTTGACTAGATGGACCTTTGTTGGCAAAGTTGTCTCTGCTTTTTAATATGCTGTCTATAGGTTGGTCATAACTTTTCTTCTAAGGAGCAAGCATCTTTTAATTTCATGGCTGCAATTACCATCTGCAGTGCTTTTGGAGCCCCCAAAATAAAGTCTCTCACTGTTTCCATTGTTTCCCCATCTATTTGCCATGAAGTGATGGGATGAGATGCCATGATCTTAGTTTTCTGAATGTTGAGTTTTAAGCCAACTTTTTCACTCTCCTCTTTCATCAAGAGGTTCTTTAGTTCTTCTTCACTTTCTGCCATAAGGGTGGTGTCATCTGCATATCTGAGGTTATTGATATTTCAATCTCAAAAACGACCGAATGATCTCTGTTCATTTCCAAGGCAAACCATTCAATATCATGGTAATCCAAGTCTATGCCCCAACCAGTAATGCTGAAGAAGCTGAACAGTTCTATGAAGACCCACAAGACCTTCTAGAACTAACACCCCAAAAAGATGTCGTTTTCATTATAGGGGATTGGAATGCAGAAGTAGGAAGTCAAGAAACACCTGGAGTAACAGGCAAATTTGGCCTTGGAGTATGGAACGAAGCAGGGCAAAGGCCAATAGACTTCCGCCAAGAGAACGCACTGGTCATAGCAAATACCCTCGCCCAACAACATAAGAGAAGACTCTACACATGGACATCACCAGATGGTCGACACGGAAATCAGATTGGTTATATTCTTTGCAGCCAAAGATGGAGAAGCTCTATACAGTCAGCAAAAACGAAACCGGGAGTTGACTGTGGCTCGGATCATGAACTCCTTATTGCCAAATTCAGACTGAAATTGAAGAAAGTGGAGAAAACCGCTACACCATTCAGGTATGACCTAAATCAAATCCCTTATGACTATACAGTGGAAGTGAGAAATAGATTTAAGGGACTAGATCTAATAGACAGTGCCTGACGAACTATGGGTGCAGGTTCGTGACATTGTACAGGAGACAGGAATCAAGACCATCCCCAAGAAAAAGAAATGCAAAAAAGAAAAATGGCTCTCTGAGGAGGGCTTACAAACCGCTCTGAAAAGAAGGGAAGCGAAAAGCAAAGGAGAAAAGGAAAGATACCCATTTGAATGCAGAGTTCCAAAGAATAGCCAGGAGAGATAAGAAAGCCTTCCTCAGTGATCAGTGCAAAGAAATAGAGGAAAACAATAGAATGGGAAAGACTAGAGATCTCTTCAAGAAAATTAGAGATACCAAGGGAACATTTCATGCAAAGATGGGCTCAATAAAGGACAGAAATGGTATGGACCTAACAGAAGCAGAAGATAATAAGAAGAGGTGGCAACAATACTCAGAAGAACTGTACAAAAAAGATCTTCACAACCCAGATAAGCACGATGGTGTGATCACTCACCTAGAGCCAGACATCCTGGAATGTGAAGTCAAGTGGCCTCAGGAAGCATCACTACAAACAAAGCTAGTGGAGGTGATGGAATTCCAGTTGAGCTATTTCAAATCCTGAAAGATGATGCTGTGAGAGTGCTGCACTCAATATGCCAGCAAATTTGGAAAACTAAGCAGTGGCCACAGGACTGGAAAAGGTCAGTTTTCATTCCAATCCCAAAGAAAGGCAACCCCAAAGAATGCTCACACTACCACACAACTGCACTCATCTCACACGCTAGCAAAGTAATGCTCAAAATTCTCCAAGCCAGGCTTTAGCAATAGGTGAACCGTGAACTTCCAGATGTTCAAGCTGGTTTTAGAAAAGGCAGAGGAACCAGAAATCAAATTGCCAATATCTGCTGGATCATCGAAAAGGCAAGAGAGTTCCAGAAAATCATCTATTTCTGTTTTATTGACTCTGCCAAAGCCTTTGCCTGTGTGGATCACAATAAACTATGGAAAATTATGAAAGAGATGGGAATACCAGATCATCTGACCTGCATCTTGAGAAATCTGTATGCAGGTCAGGAAGCAACAGTTAGAGCTGGACAACAGGCTGGTTCCAAATAGGAAAAGGAGTACGTCAAGGCTGTATATTGTCCCCCTGCTTACTTAACTTATATGCAGAGTACATCATGAGAAACACTGGGCTGGAGGAAGCACAAGTTGGAATCAAGATTGCCAGGAGAAATATCAATAACCTCAGATATGCAAATAACACCACCTTTATGGCATAAAGTGGCAGAAAGCATATTAAAAAGCAGAGACATTACTTTGCCAACAAAGGTCCGTCTAGTCAAGGCTATGGTTTTTCCAGTGGTCATGTATGGATGTGAGAGTTGGACCATAAAGAAAGCTGACTGCCGAAGAATTGATGCTTTTGAACTGTGGTGTTGGAGAAGACTCCTGGGAGTCCCTTGGACTGCAAGGAGATCCAACCAGTCCACCCTAAAGGAGATCAGTCCTGGGTGTTCATTGGAAGGACTGGTGCTGAAGCTGAAACTCCAATACTTTGGCCACCTGATGCGAAGAGCTGACTCCTTTGAAAAGACCCTGATGCTGGGAAAGATTGAGGGCAGGAGGAGAAGGGGACAACAGAGGATGAGATGGTTGGATGGTATCACCGACTCGATGGACATGGGTTTCGGTGAACTCCAGGAGTTGGTGATGGACAGGGAGACCTCGCGAGCTGAGGTTTATGGGGTCGCAAAGAGTCGGACACAACTGAGTGACTGAACTGAACTCTGCATATAAGTTAAATAAGCAGGGTGACAATATACAGCCTGGACGTACTCCTTTCCTGATTTGGAACCAGTCTGCTATTCCATGTCTAGTTCTAACTGTTGCTTCTTGACCTGCATACAGATTTCTAAGGAGGCAGGTGAGGTAGTCTGGTATTCCCATCTCTTGAAGAATTTTCCATAGTTTGTTGTGATCCACACAGTCAAAGACTTTGGCATAGTCAATAAAGCAGAAGTAGATGCTTTTCTGGAACTTTCTTGCTCTTTTGATGATCCAATGGATCTTGGCAATTTGATCCCTGGTGCCTCAGACTTTTCTAAATCCAGCTGAACACATGGAAGTTCACTGGTCATGTACTGTTGAAGCCTGGCTTGGAGAATTTTGAGCATTACTTTGCTAGTGTGTGAGATGAGTGTAATTGTGTGGTAGCTTGAACATTGTTAGAGAAACATAAAAATTATGATTCTGGAGAAGACATATAAAACTATCCCCAAACAGTTAAAATGGTTAAAATTACACAAAATACTTTGCTTAGCTCCTTTACTTTTCATGGCCATATAGCTGTTCTATATTGTTGCTGCTGTTCAGATGCTAAGTTGTGTCCAACTCTTTGCGATTCCATGGACTATAGTGCACATGTTTCCTTGCTATTTTACATAGGTTCAAGAAAAATATTACCTTTCTGCAAGACAGTTATTTAATAACTGCTTTTGTAACCATGGTCAAGCCTCAAATCTCATTAAATTACATACAGAAAGCCCATTATTAAACAACAAGTTCCAAGCAACTTGCTTGAGTTGAACTGGATAGTTGTTGGTTTATTGTCTTTGTATATGAGCTGATAAGAGCAATATTTTACATGTAAAAATAATGACAACCTTATGAACTTTACAAAGTTTCCAGATAAAAATAACTCCTAAATTTTAGTGTCATGTGACTTTAATTTTATTAACCAAATTACAAGAAGCTTTTTTGTATATATGTGTGACCTTTCATCATATTTACATAATAAAAACAAAATATCCAAGTAGTGACACAGGATTAGAAAATCACTAAACAGATTTATGCAAAGTCATGCCTTAAGAGGAAATTTGAAGGCAAAATTGACACTGTAACTAGAATAAGAAATGCACATCACATTCCAAAGTCAGAAAATGAAATACAACAACCCTGTGTTGTAAAGGATTAACCTTTCACATTCCAAAGAAAGATTTTACCCTTGCTCAACTCCTGGCAGATAACCTGTAAGACCATGGAATAGCCTGCCTGATAAAAACGCTTTTAGTTTACCTAGGAGCTTCATGCTCTCCAAGATAGTCTACACGAACAATGTGATTTATGATGGGGCTTTCAACCATTTGGTACCAGCTTTGATGGCTCAGACAGAAAAGAATCTGCCTGCAATGCAGCAGTCCTGGGTTCAGTCCTTGGATTGGGAAGATCCCCTGGGGAAGGGAATGGTTACCCACTCCAGTATTCTTGCCTGGAGAATTCCATGGACAGAGGAGCCTGACAGGCTACAGTCCATGGAATGCAAAGAATTGGACATCACTAAGCGACTATCACTTTCACTTTTTCATAACCTCCAGAGGGACGGGAGACTGAAGGTCAGTCACATGGACAGTCACCCATGTTATGTGACCAGCCCACAATAAAAAAACTGGACACCAAAGCTCAGAGGAGATTCCTTGGTTGGCAATACTCCAAGCATCTCATATATCATTGCTAGAATTAAGTGCTATCTGCATGACTTCACTGGAAGACAAGTACTAGTTCATGCCTGGTGTTTCCTGGACTTTGCTGTGCTGTACTTAGTTGCTCAGTTGTGTCTGACTCTTTGTGACCCCATGGACTGTACCCCACCAGGCTCCTCTGTTCAGGCTCCTCTTGTTCCCCAGGCAAGAATACTAGAGTGGGTTGCCATGCCCTCCTCCAGGGGAATCTTCCCAACTCAGGGATCAAACCCAGGTCTCCTGCATTGCAGCTGGATCCTTTACTGTCTGGGCCACCAGAGACGCCCAAGAATACTGGAGTGGGCAGCCCATCCCTTCTCCAGGGGATCCTCCTGACCCAGGAATCGAACTGGGATCTCCTGAATTGCCGGCAGATTCTTTACCACCTGAGCTACCAGGGAAGCCCTAGACTTTCTGGACTTTACCTTATGTCCTTTTTTGAGTTGCTGATTTAAATTTGTATGTTTTTGTTGTAATAAACCATAACCATGAGTATAATAGCTTTTCTGAGTTCTATGTATTCTTTTAGTGAATCACTGAGCGCAAAGGTGACCTTGGGGACCTTGGAAATTTGCAACCGAGATAAAGTAACATCAGCAAAAATAGTCAATTTGTCTGATTCTTGTTCCCTCAGTAAATGAAACCTTGAGTCTTTCATATAAGATATTCCCTGAAAGAAACAAATATATCCCTGATTTTGGCAATGCCAATGTCTGAAGATATGTGATGATCTTTTTTGGATATGTCATATCCAAAAGCTGCTGTTTTCTACCTTGAAGTGATTAGCTGTAAACTTGATGACCCTGGTATACTTTTAAGTTTTTTTTTTTCTTTCAAATACTTGTCATATCTTTAATTTGTGAAAGCTATCCTTCTATATCTTGGACTCCCTCACAAATCTTGTTGGCATACAAACTCCTTTTCTAAACACTTTAATCTCTGAGTGGTTTATGTTATACTTCAGCCAGTGGTAGTTTGTATCAACAGTATTTTACTAGACTGGTTAAGAGAATCAAACTCCACTATTTGTGGAATACCCATAGAAATGCTCAAAAGTGGATCTGAGAATTAGAAATCACAGGAAAACATTCTATCCAAATACCAAAGGCAAAGCTCTCACTCTGCTTAAGAGCTATACTATAAAAGAACAAAGAGAAAATGACCCTCTCTGAAAATCTATTTAGGCTTAGGTGTCCAATATTTAAACCACACCACAAGAGAGAAGCAGAGTATATAATACTGATATAAATTCTTTCAAGTTTATCAAATCAAAGAGTTATATACATAAAATCACAGAATAAGCTTTTAAAAGACAAGTTCATTTTGAAATTAAAGTAAAAGTAGAACTTCTTAACCCAGAAATATTTCTTTTAATTCTGATATTGAACTTCCAAATTTTAAATTTGTGGCTTAGCTTGTTTTGGGGAAAATGAAGGTAATAATTTTGTGCTGTGTTCAAGCATTCAATATTTTAAGATATTAATAGTGCTATTCTTTCACATGTATTATCACAAAGTCTGTGTTTAGCTATCTCTGAAAATACATTTTTAAGGTATTAAAGATACTTTTTCTTTTGCTATAAATTATAAAACCAAAAATGTTCCATGGAATTCTCAAGAGTGTTTTAAAATTTAATTTTAAATGGGTTTCCTGTGTACCAATAGGATTTATGTTTTAAATAACACACTTGTGAAGTTAAAAGAACCTACAGTGATGAAAAGTGAAATAGTTTCCAATTTAACGAGAAGATTCTGGACAACTGCCTTGTAAACAACAATCTTATATTTCAGGCAAGAAATGATTCACATTCTGTACTAGTTCAGTAATAGATTTTTCTAAGAAATATCCCACAAGTCAATGTACATTTAACTTTAAAGAAAATTAACCAAAGAAAAACTTGCAAGGTTTTTCAAAACTTTTCCTAAAATTTACTTGATCAGATTAAGCAAAATTAGGTCAAAAGAATATTTTAGCTATGACTAGACGATCTGGCTCATTTTATAATCTTCTTTTCATAAAGGCTAAAATCTATTTAACAATTTAAGCACTTTTAATACTTTGTAGTGGTGAACAAACTTTTACAAGTGAGTAGAATCCTATTATAATGAACATCACTCTGATGTTCGCTTCCTTATGGCACTTCTTCCTATGTTCTAACCACAGCCAAAAGCTGATACAGCCTGAAGAAACATGTTGAACAGGATATCAAAAGTCACAGAAACACAGCTTCTGAGTTGGCAGTTATTTCATTTAATGAAGCTGTTTTTCAGGTAAGATATTTAAATACTCCATTCACTCTTTTCAAAACATTTTATCAGTTCAGTAAAATGACATGTTTTTAAAGAGTGTTCTGCTGGTAGTACATCAGGTTTCAAACTTTTTTAGTGTTGTTGACTGCTGATGCTCAGACAAACAGGGTTTCTCACAGGATAAATCTTTGCTCATTTCAGATGCAAGACATGCACATAGTTTTTCCTCTCACAAATTTCACTTCTTTATGCATTTTAAAACTGTCTCAAGCTCCTATAGAAAAGATTTTTTTCCCAATCATAAAACCCCCGCTTGGTTAGATTCCACACAGAGGCAATGACAAGACAGAAACAACGGCTGAGGAGTAATTGAGGCCTTTTGTTAAGGAATTCATGGTGAATATATTTACTTGTATCCACATTAGAAAAACAACACTTTTCTAATGTAGGTTGGCTAGTGTTTGAAAGAGTATTCTATAGACCAGCAAATGTAATGGTATTGACTAAAGCAGGACTTTTACCTGTAGAACATACAAAACAAATTTGAAATGGTATTTCTGGGATCAACAGTAGACTGCCACAAGTCATACTAGGGAACTTGAGAGTATTCCTATTTTATACTGGCTTCTCACTTTCCTCTACAACATTTTTCAAATTCATTCCCTTTGAACATTTATTAAAAGCTGGCTTTTTCTTTTCCAAATAACATTTAGAAATTATAATTTTACATTTTAAATTATAATTTTGCATTTTAAATTATAATTTAGTACTCAACAAAATTTCATAACACAGTACTACCTTCTCTATGTGTGAAGAGCTCTGACAGTTTCAATGCTATTCTATATTATTTTTAAAATGTTGACAGTGACCCACTAAATTGATTTCACAATCCATTAATAGGATATGATCTATAGTTTGAAAAATACTGACTTGGCCTAAGTGATAAACAAGATGAAGTATGAGGAAATTTAGAGGGTTAAATTCATAAGGAAAGTGACTGGAAATTATTTGCATAATTCTGTGAAAATCAATAATTGGCCTTTAGTATATAACTTGCCACTATATTATTTTTCTGTTGCAGTCTAAATCCTTATTGTTTGACTTTTGCCCCAATTACTCACCACTCTCTTCCCATATACTTCAGTGTTTCATACCCATTCTTTTGACTTATGTCTTTGAATTTGGTGCTGGTTATGTGACAGTATGTGTTTGAGACTACTGGGTGGACTGGTTTCCTCAATCAATAAGTTATGGAAAATTAAGAATCTGAGAACAATTCTGCCATGAGGAAATAAAGCAGAGGAGAGCCATATATATCAAGATAGTGAATGAAGAAATACAAACAGGCTGACTTCATCTATGAATGGATGAAAACAAAGGTTTGGTAGACGAATATTTTTTGAGCATCTGCTCTGTGCTGATCATTATACCTCTGTGCCACCTACTGTTTTCTTTCTTATATGTTTACATATAAGTCTTATCTCTACTATCAGACTATAAGCAACTTAAAGATATAATCCATGTATAATTTCTTTGAATCTTCTATAGCAACTAGCATAGTATCCTAGGATCAACAAATTCTTGATTATTAGAGATCAATACTTGCTGAATGAATATGTCAAACACACCAATATACAAGTAAAGAACTACCTTGATTCTCAAATGTCTTCCTCTTAGCATCATATCAAAGAAAGCAACATCCTGAGTGCCTGTTGTCTGTGCTCCCCAAAAAACAAATAATAAAATACTTAAGTATTCTTAACTAGTGGTTATGTAAAATATGGTAACATATCCTTAAAAGATGAAACAGTAGAATAGCTGAACTGGTGCCTGAAACAGCAGTACTTGATCCAAAATGCTCATTCCAAATGAGTTCACCAAATAAGGTTAATGTATTTCCATGCAATGTAATTATTAAATATTTATTGAGAGGCTACTCATGGGCCAAGTACTACGCTAGGTTCTTGGCTACAGTGGTGAGCAAGAAATGATCTTGCCCTCAGGGAGCTTTCAATCTATGGGAAAACAAACAAACAAATGATAACAAGAAAATGTGCAAAGTGCAAAGACAGAGGAAGTATCTAGAAAAGGCAGCTAAGCCAGATTTGGGAGCAGGTAGGGATGTGGGCTTCCCTGGTGACTCAGAGGTTAAAAGCGTCTGCCTCCAATGCAGGAGAGCCAGGTTCGATCCCTGGGTTGGGAAGATCCCCTGGAGAAGGAAACAGTAACCCACTCCAGTATTCCTGCCTGGAGAATCCCATGGACAGAGGAGCCTGGTAGGCTACAGTCCACAGGGTCGCAAAGAGTCCGACACGACTGAGCGATTTCACTTTCACTTTCAGGGATGTGAAGGGGCTTCCCTTGTAGCTCAGTTGGTAAAGAATCTGCCTACAGTACAGAAGACCTGGGTTCGATCCCTGGGTTGGGAAGATCCCCCGGAGAAGGAAATGGCTAACCCACTCCAGTATCCTTGCCTGGAAAATCTCATGGACACAGGAGCCTGGTGGGCTGCAGTCCATGGGGTCGCAAAGAGTCAGGCATGACTGAGCAACTAACACTTACTTAGGGATGTGAAGAAGAGGCTTAAAGAAGGTTTCTTAGAGGTAGCAGTAAATTGAGATCTGAAGAATTAAGGGAAGCTAAATAAGCAAAATCTAGGCAGAAAGTATGGTGGATAACATCATACTTATTTTAAAAGATTATTCTAGAAAGCTGATTATACCATTCAAAGAACTTTTTCTGTCTTTCTTTGATAGAAAATTCATAATGCCCAACATTCTGCCTACAGCCTGGATCCAGTCTCTCAACATTACAAACTGATGAACTGGCGTTTATAAGTCTTACATGGTTGAAAAACAAAAACAAAAAATACCTCAGATCATAAAGTAACAAGAGATCAATTTACTTCTTTTCTGTTAAAACTGTTAAACAGATATAATACAAGGAATATAATAGATCATGCATATATAATAAAAAATATATTTCTTCAGTAGGGGTGTCCTAGTTTATAATTTTAGTAATTGTCTATGGCATCTAATAGGCTTTTGAGAATGCAATGACACTCTACTGGTATGGAGAACACTCTCAAACACCCATCAGGACGGTTTCCCTGGTGTTTCAGCAGTAAAGAATCTGCCTGGCAATGCAGGAGACACAGGTTGAGCCCTGATCTGGAAAGATTCCACATGCTGGGGAGGAACTAAGCCCAGGCACCCCACAACAATGGAGCCTGTGCTCTAGAGCCCGGGAGCGGCAACCACAGATCCACATGCCACAATTACTGAAGTCCATGTGCTCTAGCCCATGCTCTGCAGCTCCAGAAGTCACTGCATGAGAGCCCATGCACTGCAACTAGAGAGCAGCCCCCACTTGCTACAACTAAAGAAAAGCCCTCTCAGCAATGAAGACCCAGCATAGCAAAAAAAAAAAAAAAAACCCATCAGGAGCAAAAATTGACCTGATTCTTTACGTAAACACCTCATAGCTATAATCAAAATAAACTCTGGTCTAGACAATATTTTAAAACTTTAAACTTTACCATTTTGTTATCTCTAACTCTCCCTATATAACAAAACACCAAAAAAAAAAAAAAAAGGAGGGAAATTAAACAAGTACACAGGTTATGAAGAATAAGGCTGAAATACTGGCAAGGTCTGTTTACCAAGAAGTGAATTTATTTTCACATTGGTGAAAGTCAATTATTATTTTTATTTATCCTCATTTTACTTTAATTAAAAGGTGCCATGGCACCCATAAAGTTTTTTTTTTTTTAATCTCAAGATGCTATGCCTTATATAAGTTTGTATTGTTGTACATCTGGGAGTCAGCTTATACTTATCTAAACTTCACATACAATTAAATTAAATGTTCTCTGTAGGTACAGCTTTAGCTACAGATGAATAGAGTTCCAGGAAAACTCCATTAGGAATTTCACTATTTACACTATACCAACAATGGCAGCTGGTGCATTTTTGGCCACACTGAGCACTCCTTCCATTGCTCATGAACAACTCACCCTTTCCCCCTAGTTTGATTATCTCACAAATCAAGCTTTGATTTACATTTTGGTGTCTTATCATGGATTAAGAATACTACTCTACAGTTAACATTTTATTTTTTAAGGAAGAAAGCTTTACATATAACTAAAAAATAATTTTCAAGCATACCATCCCAGCCAGTTAGCACACTGTATTGAATATCTCCTTTAATCTTGTACTGTTGAAAATAGGGCATTTCCCTCCAATCTTCCTATCTTTAGCTACAACTTCATAAAAATGGTCATGTTACCAATGACCCACACAAATACAGTTAATTCAAGATTCCAACTACTATTTCCAGGATTAATATAGTCACAATACCTACTGCTTCAAACACTCAAACTTTCTAGTTTCACAGTTTCATCAACCTGTCTTGGATAAAAGTTCTAATTTCATTTTTTTCAATTTCTGATTAAATAAAAAACAAACAAACCTGTTTTTCACTTAAGTGAACAAACTCTGTGATACCCTACCGCGTTTCTGCCAGGCGAGCACAGCTTCGGGGTTGCTACAGCAACTCTTGTACACTGACCATAGACAGCCCCATCCAGGAAGGAAGTGTTTGCTCCACCCCCTGAGGAGTCAAAGGCAAGAAGCAGGCTGTGAGCAGAGACACATTTTCAGTTCAGTAATTGTGATGGAGCAACAGGAGACCATTATTTATCCTCTTTCCTAATACATGTCACCCCAACAACCCAAACAAACTTCAAATCAAGTTGCTATGAGTACATATTTCCACATCATGGAAGGATTGTATTCTTTACCCAACCCCCACTAGAAACCTGAGCCAGGGAACAAATCAAAGCAATTTCATCCTAGGCACATAGAAAAAGAAAAAAAGAAAAAGGAAAAAAAAAAAGAAAATTTAGAATATTCTCACTTCTATGAAGAGTACCTTTTGGTTCTTGCTTTCAGGCTTTAACCCCTGCAAACTCAGGATCTATGACAATTTTTTCTCTTTTTGGCTGCTCAGATATAACATTTACTGAGTTTTTATTCAGTGCCAATCCTTCTTCTGCTGGGTGCTTAGACATGTTATTTTATCTAATCTCACAACAACCCTATGAGGTAGGTAGTAATACAATCCCAGCTTTACAAATGAGAAACAGAGGCTCCAAAAAGTTATTTGATTGTCTAAACTACTAAGTGGCAGAATCAACGTGAACCCAAGTCTCCTATTTCTGAGATTTATGTTTTTTCTACTACATTGCACCGATTTTGCAAGAAAATTCACAATTCTTAGTTAAAATATTCAAGTGTTCCTTAAGTGATTTTAATTTTTTATGGTAATTTGTTTTAGTAAAACATTTCCACAAGTAATGACTTTACAACTGATAAATTAAAAATATTCAGCCACCATCTTAAGTGCATAGAAAACAAAGGCATATCCTGGTGAGTTTTTTGCCAAGTATAAACTATGGCACTCACATTCTTGAGAAAAGATAAAGTTGAAAAATAGGTAAGGTGATGAAGCCGAGTTTACATAAAGCAATCTGTGGAGCATCTCTTGGGTTGAAGGAGCTGTTAAGGAATGAGGGAGTGAAAGTGGGTGAAGGACAACATTTAAACCAGAGAGAAAGACATGTTTATTTAAGTCATTAGTTACTTTCAAGGACAATTCCAAGTATAAATCTGCCCATTTTCAGTCATATCTTCACTTCAGGTATGGAGAGGTCTTCTAGAAGCACCTCTTTTTCTCTTCATAAGAACGAATTATAGTTTTTCTCCTTCCCTCACAGACAACCCACAATTACTCTCTTTTTCCTACATACACTCTTTGGGATTTCCTAAGAGGATATAAAGGCTACCTTTTAAAAAATTGCTTTTCCTGGTTCCCCAAGATCTTGATCTTTTTATTCTCCTATACCTATAGCTTGGCTATCCCCCAGCTATAGATAAAGATTACCTCCAAAACTGTCCTTTTGGAATCACCATTTTTTAAACTGCTATCCTTTCCTCTGAGCTCCTCCCCTCTGTTATGCCTTTTGTGTCAGTCTTCTAGTTCTACTTCAGGTGATGGCTCCAATTCTCTAGTTGCCCCAAAGGGTTCTGGTGAGAAACAAAGTAAGTTCAGTACAGTTGTACTAGTTTCCACACATTTCTGGAAAGACAGGTCAACAAACATAAATTCACTATAAAGCATATATGTACAAAGAAATATCTTATGGCATCACTAATCAAAGCGTAAACATATAGTTGTAAAGGAGTCAGATTTAAAAAAAAAAAACAAGAGCTAAATTTATAAAAGAGAATGGGAATAGCAGAGAAAGGCTTTCATAGTTGGATTACTGTCATCTAAAAGTTAGTTTACTATGAGTTCCTATTCATAATTGTCACATTAAAAACGGACTAAAGGCCTCTTCACAAAGCTTTTCCCTTTCCAAAGAAGAAAAACATTCCCCAGATCTAAAACAAGACAGGGAGAAGCACAAGAAAAGTCAAAAGACCTGTCCATACTCTGTTAATTTTATATTTGTTCTTTATATAAGCTTCTTAAGGTTACAAGCCTACTAAATGAAAAAGTGGAATGGCCCTATATCTCAAATTCAACTCAATTTTAAATATCATCAGTCTAGTATAATGTTTTAAACTTAGCTTAATGTATCTGCAAAGTGAACAATGTTTCTAAAATATGGTATGCTGAGGTATTTCAGTCAATAAAAAAGAATAGGAAAGCAATCATTTATTATTTGGGTTTCTTAGGAGATCATTAGGCATTCATTTTAAAATACAATTTGATACTTTATAGAGGCTAGAAACATAATTCAAAATTTCATAAAGGTTATTAAATTAAAACCACTTTAGACAGTTCAAGATCTCATTGACAAAGTTCATTCAAGATGATAGTTTCGCTATTGTGTTACTGTTCCCACATAATATCATCTTGTCTCAATTTCATCTGAAGATTATGGACTCGTATTGGACGAAAGTTGCTGTTCTTTTGAAGAGAGTTAGTTAGCAGACATTTTCTGGAGCTATTTTTTATATTCTTTGTTCCTTTACAGTTGCTATCTTCTTGCTGAATAGCTGAAGTTTCACTCATCTTTGAATTCTGAACTTTTTGCTGCAGTTTGCGGACCTGGAAAGAAAAAAATCTAATATTTCAGTCAAAAATACACTTAAAATGTACCTTATAATAGAGGATTGGATTGATGGTTTCAAGATTACATGAAATTAAAAAGTTTGGTAAGTCTTTATTTATTGAATACTTATTGCATGCCTAACACTGAGATATTTATACAGAAACATAATGAATAAAAGAATCATTGCTTTCAAGGAGCTTATTGCTCTTATTATTAAAGAAAAAAAAGCATATATGTGACAGCTAGAGAATAATTCAAGCCAGAATAACTTTGAGTAGGACAAAAAGTGTATGTCTAAGAAGGATAAAGGAGGACAAGATTGATGTGGGCTGGAGAAGCTGAGAGAAAGAAATGTTTGTTTTCGTAAGATAAGACATGGGAAAAATCAGGAGAACATGGAGGAGAGAGAAGGACCTTTCTGGTGACATTAACAACAAAGCAAAAATATGGTGCTAGGAGTGAACATCAAGTTTATAGAGTCTATATTTTTTCTTTTTTTTTTATGTAATAAAGTTTTATTAAAGTACAAAAGACATAAGAGACAGTTTCTGACATAGATATCAGAAGGGGACAGAAAGAGTTTCCTCTTGCTAGTTTCTAGCATGGAGTTATATACCTATTAGCAAATCCTCATTAGAGAAAAGAAACACCTCAAGGTTGAGAGAGTTGCACCGGGCACCTCACTGACAACATACATTTTGAGACATCATTTGCACAAGCTGAGTCATGCCTGGCCATAAAACAGTTGATCAGAATCTTGAAGAAAGGCAGATTTCCAAACAAATACATAGTTTTTGTGTTTTTTTTTTTTTTTTAACACATTAACATAGCTTAAGGAAGACATTTCCATGAGAAAAATGCATTGGTAAGCTCAAGATTTCAAATAAAGTTAAGTTCAGGCAGAAGCAGGTATTGTCATGACAACACAGAACTTTAAGAGAAAAAAGGAATAAAAAAAAGTCCACCAATTGCAGTTTTAATTCCTCCTGCCACTTGGGCACCTCTGACCTGCCTACAGAGGCTATTAACACTCTCAATATGTATGTGTCTTTTTGTGTTAAGTGTTAGTTGCTCAGTCGTGCCCAAGTCTTTGTGACCCCATGGACTGCAGCCCATCAGGCTCCTCTGTTCAAGAGATTTTCCAGGCAAGGATACTGGAGTGGGTTGCCATTTCCTTCTCCATATATTTTTTCTTTAAAGTATTCCTGAATTTAAAGTAGCCAGTTTTGTTTTGTTTTTAAAGGCAAAGGAATAAATAACCTTATCTCATTGAGGAGTTTCTAGTAATGATTGGGTTGACGGAATTAAACAAAACAAAATCTAAAAACTAGTTAAACCCTTTTCTTCCAAGTCTAGTCCATTACTGAATCTTTTAAAAAATTATTTATTTTGGCCTCATTACATGGCTTGTGGGCTCTCAACTCCCCAATCATGGACGGAACCCATATACCCTACTGAGGAAGTGTGGAATCCTGACCAATGGACCGCCAGGGAATTCCCCACATTACTTATCTATTTCACTTAAGCATAACCTGATTTGTAGAGCTGGTCCAGACACTGGCTAAGTATCTGGTGTTATGTTTACCTAAAAATTCTTAAAAAATTTTACTTCTATAGCTATTTACTTCTATAGCCATTATAAATTATATATATATAATATTTTCAAAATATAATTTATGTACATACTGCCTAAATTTAAAAAATATGACTACTCTTCTGTTCCTTTTAGGTTTCTCCTATGTGATTCTAAGAAAGTATACAAATTACATAATTTTCACCCTAACACAATCATACAGAAAGCTTACTTACTATAGCTTTAAAAGCCAGTTTAGTGAAAATGTTTGCTTCAATATTTCATTTCCTTTTGTCTTTCTTTATTGGCCATAGAAGAATAAAGGCAGTAAAATTCTGTATTCTTTATTACTTTCCTATAAAAGTAGGGAAGGCTTAATTGTGAGGTTAATATATTACCAACTTATATGAATGTTGATAATTCCATTAGCAGATAGCCACATGATATGACCTAAGGGTTCCTGGAAAGATTCCCTCTGCTTTCTTTTCCAGGAGCATAATAGTCCTAAGAGTGAATTCATTGTCTTGGGATGAAATATAATATTCCATGATTTTTTTGTCAAAACATTAAGATTGTTATGCCATTCTTAGTTATTACGAATTTATACACAAGGATAGAGTCCTCCTCATCACCTCCACTAGAGTGAGCTAAGCATAGGTCCCCAAGGAATGGAACACAGCATGGCTTGTTCTGAGAAACTGGAAATAGTGGTTTTAGAGATGGGTATGCTTGAGGAGCCAGGTTTATATGTAAGATAGACACCTGTTGACATAAGGGGCTTCAGTAAGGCATTAGGAAAGAGAGGGACAAGAAGAAAAGAATGCTAAAAGGACAGCTGGGAGAGCTGTAAAGCAAATTTAGCCTACCTCTTAATTTTCCCAAAGTTACTTCTGAATACATAACTAACATTTCTCTTTTTTTTCTCCCTTTGGCTGTGCCGTGTGGCTTGTAGGATCTTAGTTCCCCAACCAAAGATTGAACCTGGGCCCCAGCAATGAAAGCGCAGAGCTCTAACCACTGGACAGCCAGAGAATTCCCCATAACTAAATTTCTTTGTTCCCTTTTCTTTATATTATATTGAGTATTATGTAGCAGACTATGTTATTTCAATGTACAGATGACTCTATTTTGTCATAAGTCTAAGTGACTCCTATCTATCATCTTTTCACTAAGCCACACAATCAGGCCTTAAATTTGGAAGGTCTAAAGAAATATAACATTGAATCCAGATATATTATCTTTTTATTAAAATTTTTTACTAAAACTTTCTTACATTATCTTGATGCTGCATTAGTTTGGAAATTTGTTCTCCTTTAATTTCCATTTTCTTGACTAAACGCTCTAGTTCACAATCTATATCTTCACAGACTGATTGGCTTTCAGTTTCTTTCATTTGATTCAGCAGGTCTTGGTACTCCCTATGAAAGAAAATCAAGTATCAAGCACTATTACAGTTTATAGTATACAAACTATATATATACAATATATTATATATATATATTAATCTTTGTCACAATTAAACAATATTCTGCTCAATCATAAATTTTAAGCAGAGTTAAATATTAACCTTCAAAGACAGCTTCTTTTTGTAGAGTTATCAAATTAAATCTATGGTAATTATAAACAGGCTCTTATGATTTGAGATTAGATATATTTAGAAATATCTCAGACTTAGGATCTCAAAGAATCTTAAAAAAGTCTGAATTCTTAGTGTTCATAGTTAAATGTAGTAAAATATTCTGATGTCCTTAGCTAGAGGCATTAAGGGACTCTTTTTTATTCCAAGTTTGGAATTCTTAATGTAGATTCTTTGGAAGAATTTCAGCTATAGAAGTATTTGCCTGAGAAATTCCTAGATTTGGTGACAGCTTGCTCAAAAAAACCACTCCTAATAGAACTAGTATATCTTCTATGAGGTCTTAGTTCAACTAGTTGGCCACCCAAGTCACATATTTTCTGGAATATTTGTTGAAAAGATATTTAAACTTGAAGCTTAAAATATGTATCCCATACAGAATCTGTATGTATCCCAAACAGAATCTTTGAAGTATATGGATGCTTCAAACATGCAATGCAGACCAGCCAGAATGGAAAACAAGAAATTGCATTCCTATTTGTCTAATGAAATCATTCACTTAACTGAAAAGATTATAAAAAGCAGAAGAAGAATCTATCTTAGAAAAGCATTTGTGAATTATAATTTAAGGTCACCAGACCCCATTTGTTAGAATGACAGAAATATTTGTCTATCAGTTCAGATCTTGGGAATACAGAAACACTTTAAATAGAAAAAAGTAATCTTCAGATCAAAATAAGTTCAAAAGGCTAAGTAAGGCTTTTAGGAATTTGTAAGTGATATTCTTTGAAAGACTGAGAAGAAAAAAAGATACCTAAATTTGTCTTGCTACTTCTTGTGATAAATACTTACATAGTCATTTGGTCCAGCTCATCTTGCATTGCCATCAAAAGTTCAGACAAATTGTTGCAAATAGAAATGGACTTTTCTGAGTCAGAAGGTACAGCTTTACATTGAGAAGTTGTTCTAGAAGGCTTGTAGAGACATCTAAACTCAGTAACTTCAGCTGGTTTCTGAAGGATATGTGGCCCATAATGTGGCACTGTTTGGAGGTTTTGTGTACTTGCATTCGCAGAATGGCTTGCTCTGGCAGACTTTGGGGGAAAACAAATAGCTGAGAATGATTTTAAATAACTGATGGCATTTAAATAGCACTTACACCAAAGCATGAATTTATCTGAACAAGTATCCTCATTTTTCCCTTCTCACCTTCTCAGCCATAATAGGCAGTGTTCCATATTTTGAACAAATTTGCTGAGATGGTCCTCTCTTTAAACATTTAGTTTTCTAAATATTGACAAGGGGAAAAGTAAACAAAAAATATTTTAAAAGACATTTATCAAATTAACACTATTACACATTAGGAAATGCAAGTTACAATGAAATATCACTTTACGCCTGTTAGAATGGTTAAAAAAAAAAGTGACAACACCAAATGCTAACAAGGAAGTGGAGAAGCCAGATTGCTCACACACAAAATAATGCAGCCACTTTGGCAGACAGTTTGGAAGTTTCTTGTAAAATTAAAGATTTATTGATAGCTATCATATGACTCAGAGATTTCACTTTTAGATACATACCCCAGGAAAATGAAAAATATGTTCACACAAAAACCTGTACACAAAGTTTATAACTGCTTTATTTGTGATAGCCTAAAATTGAGGCAGCTTCCCTTGTAGCTCGGTCAATAAAGAATCTGACTGCAATGCAGGAGAACTGGGTTCGATTCCTGGGTTGGGAAGATGCCCTGGAAAAGGAAATGGCAACCCACTCCAGAATTCTTGCCTGGAGAATCCCACAGACAGAGGAACCTGGAGGGCTATCGTCCATGGGGTCACAAGAGTCAGACACAACTAAGCAACTAAACTACTACTACTAAAACTGAAATCCCATGGACAGAGGAACCTGGTGGGCTATATAGTCCATGGGGTTGCAAAAGAGTTGGACACAACTTAGCAACTAAACAACAGCAACACTGAAAACAACTCAAATCTCCTTCATCGGGTAAATGGTTAAACTGTGGTACATCCCTAACATGGGATACTACACAGAAACTTTTAAAAATGCGTCAATACTTGGATGGATTGGCTGAGTGAAACAAGCCTCTCAAAAGGTTATATACTATATGATTACATTTATATAACATTCCTGAAATAAAATTATAGAGATGGTAAACATTATAAATTGCTAAGGGTTAGGGAGGATGATGTGTAACTCATAACACAAAGGGATAACATGAAGGAACCTTATAGTAGTGGAATAGTTCTGTATCTTCATAGTGGTGATGGTTACAAGAATCTACACATGTGATAAAACTGTATATGATCACACAAATATGCATATACACATACAACTAAGTGAATAAAAAACTGTTGAAATCTCCATAAGCTCTGTATATTGTACCAATTTCAATTTCCTGGACTTTATTATATTTATGAAAGATGTTACCATTGGGGGAAGCTTGTTAAAGATATATGCTGCTGCTGCTGCTGCTGCTAAGTCTCTTCAATTGTGTCCAACTCTGTGTGACCCCATAGATGGCAGCCCAGAGGCTCCGCTGTCCCTGGGATTCTCCAGGCAAGAACACTGGAGTGGATTGCCATTTCCTTCTCCAATGCATGAAAGTGAAAAGTAAAAGTGAAATTGCTCAGTTGCGTTCAACTCTTCGTGACCTCATGGACTGCAGCCTACCAGGCTCCTCTGTCCATGGGATTTTCCAGGCACTAGTACTGGAGTGCGTTGCCATTGCCTTCTCCAAAAGATACATGGGACCTCCCTTTATTTTTTTTTTTTATCATCTCTAATCTATAATTTTTCAAAATGAAAAGTCAAAAACAAAAAACAAACAAAAAAAGGCACATGGTTAGGATATGGAACAATGGTAACTGCTGACTGGAACATAAACTGGTCCAGTCACTTTGAATAATATCTTGTAAAGCTAAGGTGCATGACACTTATGGCCCAGTATCTCAGAAAAACTCCTGAACACTTACACCATGAGGCATGTACAAGAATGTTCATAACAGTGTTGTTTATAATAACAAAAAGTGAGAAACAAACCAAATGATCACTGAAAGGAAAAGGGCAAAAGAAATTTTTAGCAATAAAAAGCAGTGAACCATTCATATATGCATCAAATGGAAGAATCTCATAAACTTAATGTTGAGTGGAAAAAGAAAGCTGCTGAAGAACACAAATAGAGTAAGTCCATTTATATAAAGTTCAAGTGTAAACCTAACAAATATATTTCTCATAAATACTTATTTGGCAAAGTAATTTTTTTTTTTAAACCAGGAGAATGATGAAAACAAAATCAGAATTGTGGTTACTCCTTGGAAGGAGGGAATACAATTAAAGAAAGGTACATGCTGGGCCTTAACAGTGCTGGTAATGTTCTATTTTCTTAAGCTGTGTGGTGAGTACTCCAGTGTTAATGTCATTATTATCCTTTGAGCAGACATTTTTGTTATATTAGGTTGGCCAAAAATTTGCTCAGGTTTTTCAGTAACATTTTATGGAAAAACCCGAACGAACTCTTTGGCCAAACCAATATGTACTCCTTCGTGAATCATTTTTAAAAAGACATTGCCAAGCTACATTCTTAAAAGTAAATTATTTCACTATTTTTGCTGTATGGATTGAACTAGGGTGACCAATTGTCTCAATCTGCCCATGATACAGGATCTTCAGTTCTAAAACCAGTAAAGTCATAGGCAAACTGGGGTGAATTGGTCACTCTATTTAACACTTTAGCAAGAGAATAATCAATAAGCTGAACATATTCCATAATAAAAGGAAAAAATATTCCCAATTTCAAAGGATAATTTAGATATCTTAACTATTATAAACATTAATTTTTTTAATTAAAAAAATTAAATGGCTCAGAGGTAGAGATATCACAAGTTTGTGAGTCAGTTCTTATTCACTCAGATTTTCTTGGTGATCCTGGACAATCATAGAAGCTCTGTACCTTAGGAATGATATAATTTCAAGTAATAGAAAATGATGGTCTGATCAAAGTCTATTTTAAGCAGTTAAATTAGAACAAAAGAAATGTAATTTTTTTAGTCACTATACTGAATGAGATTTCTGACTGATAATTACAATCTATCCTTTCAAAAGAATAATGAAAACCTCACAGGACAGGCTTCCATTATCTTGCTTACAATATTCAAACAGTCTGATTCTTTACTTCCAAGCTCACCTTATGCTGTTGTTGGTTACTATCTAGAAGTATAGTTCTAATCATGTCTCTATAAGCCTTCAATGGTACACAATGATTTATAGAACAAAAGTTCAAATTCTTAACATGGCCTTGAAGTCATAATCTCACTTCAAGCTATATTTTCAATTTCAAGTCTCATATGGTACTGCTGCTGCTGCTGCTAAGTCGCTTCAGTCATGTCCGACTCTGCACGACCCCACAGACGGCAGCCCACCAGGCTCCCCTGTCCCTGGGATTCTCCAGGCAAGGACTGGAGTGGGTTGCCATTTCCTTCTCCACATATGGTACTAGGACTGGACAATTATTTATAGTTTCATGTAAAAATCAACTATACTCTCAGACTGTAACATACCTCGCCTCATCTCTATCAATACTCACTCATTTTCCAAGTCTGCCTTTACAACTTCTTGTGTGATCTTTTCACATATTCTTTATGTGTACAGCACCAGAATACTTTGTTTATATCTTTATTAAGTTTTTAGTACACTCTGTCTTATATTTGTGCTTTTGTCTACTTCTCTGTAAATTCCCATGTTATCTTTTTAACTACCTAAAGGTACTAATCTATGTAAATCAAGACATATGAGTTGAATGAACTATGTCCAGGATATGGAGTAAGTGTCAGTGAGACAAGCAGGAATCTCACAGAGGTCTCTTAAAAAAACCCAAATACTACCTTCAACGTTAGTGCTTCTGTTACCTTTAAAAGGAGGCATTATTACTTACAGATCTATGAACTTGGAACTTAAGCTAACTGCTTTTATAAAGTGGTTTTGCTGTCAATTATTTTTTCTTTTCTTCCAGGAGCTACCTTTTCTTTCCTTCGTTTCTTTTACCTTGATTTTCCCTGTACCTTATTAAAAAATCTTTTCTACCAGCTCTTCAAAGGATGTCATAAAATATAAGTACAAAAACAAGTCAGTGTTTTCCCACTTGTATAAATTATTTATAGTGATTCTCTATTTGGCTTTGCAGCTTCTAATCTTACTGTGGAGATAAGACACAAAACATACTTGAGGAAGGAAATAAACTAAAAAAAAAAATCAACATAAACTGCATTGGGAAAATATTCTTCATTACTGTAGTTTGCAAATTCTTTGAAAGAAAAAAACGTGTGAAAAATGCAGCCAAACTACTGAATTCTTATTTATGGAATAAACAACTAGCTAAAGTTAAGTATAATGTTTCCTCCATTACTGTATACACAGGGTGAACCTATGGCAGTGGCCAGAATTCACAAATAGCATGCTTGGTTCATAGAGCAAATAGTACACAGAAACACTACATGCATATTGAATAAATAGTAATAATGGTCATCAAAACTATAATTTCAGAATCATAAGATTAAAAGGGACTAACATTTTCTTTACCATGATAAATAAAAAAGTTTAATATAATAAATCCAAAACATCAATTTATCAAAACAAATTATTATTGGTAAAGCTATAAAGTACTCATTCCCCAATCTTTAAGCAAGTCCAAAGGATATCAGCATAAAAAAATAATTTCTCTAGAGAAATGACTATAATTATAATTTAATATTGTAATTTATAATATAATATAATTTAATAGTATATTTTGTCTTTTTATTGTACATGTATTATATAAAACTGCTTCCAGAATCTATTGTGTTGTATCTATTGTATTGTTTCGTGCTTCTTTTATAAACTATCCAAAATACATTTCTTTAACAGTTTAGTACTAGCAACATGTTTGCCTTTCTAGAAAAATTAGAATGCTTATTGTTATTTCACAAATTTAGATGTATTGCCCATTATATGTTCCTTTTTGCTTTGGGTGTCAAGCAAACTCAGAGCTAGGTTTTGTGCTCAAATGCTGCTACTTTCTTTAACCTGTGTTTTATGGAATTTTCTGTCCTCACACCCCAAACCATCATGACTTGACTTCTGTTTATAGGTCCACTTCATAGAATTATTTCATGTCTTATATTATAAATATCTTCAAATTCTTTTTGGAAATGCACATGTATAATTACTAAAAGGATGAAGAACTAAGCACTAGCAAATAAGAATAAAGTATTTGCATACCTTTGAAGATTTCTTCTTTTCCTTGAAGTGCCTTGGATTTGTTACTGAAGACATTAAAATTCTATTGATTTCAAGTCCAGTTTGAAGCTGTAATAGTGAAAAAAAACCTTTACTATTACTTGAATTTTAACAAATTTCTTTTTCTTCAAAAACATTATAATGAGGGATTATATATCAGTTGATAAAGATAAAAATGTTTTTTTTTGAAGAAAAGAAAATCCCAAATATTATTTTTTTGTGTTAAAGTCACCAAGTCTACTGGTAATTACAATCATTTTCTGTTTATAACAGAATGAGTTATTTTATATATCTTAAACTGAAAACAATTGATAGCATGAGTTCTTTCAACTGAGAATATATATATGTTCCTCAGAATTTCAAAAGATCAAAAGGTCTTTGGCAATATATCCAAGTCTATGAATATACTTGCTAATCTACTGAGATTTCATTATTACAGCAGAAGAAGACAAAACTGATAAGTTAGGAAGCAGAAATTAGAGTCCAGGGTAAGGCTTCAGTTAATAAAGTATAATAAAACATATGTGATTTTAAAGTGCCAGATAATATAGTATTCTGTTTACCTGAGAAGCTTTATCTTGAAAGAGCTTACGCTGATGTTCCTCTTCCTTTAGTTTTTCCTCTAAATGTTTAATCTTGTCCTACAAAAGAATTGAAAAACTGGGATTATTAAACAAAAACTAGAGCCAAATATCTTTTATTTCTTTTCCAAATAGAGCCCTCAGGGTCTTGGTTCTTAATAGTTTGGTAAATTAAAGCAGAAAGTATGAAAAAGGAATGGCAAAAGATGCTAAGTTTTCCTTGGCTTTCTTAATATGATTCTTTACCTACTTTATGTAAGAAGGACAAAGGAGAAGCAAAGAATGTATATGCATAGGCTCTATTAATTTCATTAAAAAAATCATAATACTGAAAATTTGGGAGGTTTTAATGGTCTAAAAGGTCAAACAATATAGTCTTGGGTCTCAACGTTTCATTCAAAATATGGACAACTTACAATAAAAGACTATGCTGTACTTAGGGAAAAGTGAAAGTGAAATCGCTCAGTCATGTCCGACTCTTTGCGACCCCATGGACTGTAGCCTGCCACGCTCCCCTGTCCATGGGATTTTCCAGGTAAGAATACTGGAGCGGGTTGCCATTTCCTTCTCCAGGGGATCTTCCTGACCCAGGGATCGCACTGCAGGCATACTCTTTACCATCTGAGCCACCAGGGAAATAAGACTAATATACATGAAACAATATGATTTGACCCAGGTCATGAACATATATGTATAACCTTATATACAAAAGTATTTCATCTTATATCCATGGTATAGTTTGGAATAGGAAGACAGTACTATCTCAAAGGGAGAACTTCCTGAGTACTCGAAATCTCACGGAAGGCTTCATAGAGGAAGCAGGAATGGGAGAATCCTACAAAATGGATAGGATTTGGTTGGAAAAGGAGAGGGCATTTCAGGATAGGATCTAGAATAGGCGTAACTTACTTGCAAGTGGTGAAAGGCTATGTTTTCAATAACATTTAGGTAAATCACCTAACAAATGAAAATATTCTACCACTGCAGAAGACGGTAAAACTACAATTTCACATCAAAAAGCAAACTCATTTATGCTGTGATCTATAGGCGATAACTCATATATGGATTACTAAAATCTATTAATGAAGTTTTACAAATCTAATTTTATTGCATATTCATATACAGGGTAATTACACATAACACTAAAGATTTATTCCTGGTATCACCACTTCAAAGAAATAAGTTGAAGCTTACCTCAGCAGTTTTCTGAGTTGTTGTAAGCTTAAAACATTCTTTTTCTAAGACATCAAGCTTTTCAAGTTTTGCATGAAGCTTCATATGATCCTGTTCTTTTTCCCTTTGAAGCTGGGCCTGGAAAGGAAAAAAGCAAAACCTAAATTTGGCAAGTGAAGCCAATTGCTCAAGAATAATACAATTCCTGAGAATTCAAAGCACAATATAAACTGTCATAAGAAACACATAACAAACATGCACATACTTTAGGTACTTTAAAAGCAAAAAAATAAGAGAAAATAAAATACTCTTCAAAAACAAAGAAACTGCAAAAAAAGATATTAGATCAATGGAACAAAATCTTCTATGTATCTTTATAGAACATTTCTACTATGGAAAACATCATCAGTGAAACATATTAAATAAACAAGGTGTTATCACAAAGTGATCAGACCTACTTATTGACTTACCCTCTCTCTAACTATAACACAGAAAAGCAGCTATCAAAGGACTAAAGCATACAGAGAACTTGGAGAAAAGGAAAGTTACACATATATATTTGTTGGTGTTGAATTGCTAAGTTGTGTCCAACTCTGTGACACCATGGACTGTATAAAGCCTGCCAGGCCACCCTGTCCATGGGATTTCCTAGGCAAGAATACTGGAATGAATTGCCATTTCCTTCTCCAGGGGGTCGTCCCGACCCAGGGACTGAAGTGTGTCTTCTGTACCGGCAGGCAGATTCTTTGTTGCGGAGCCACCAGGGCAGCTCTGCACATACACATGCTCACCTACCAACTGCCCCGTGGTGGAGTCCATCACCACACTAATGCCAGGTGTTAATGACAGGGGCAACTATGAGGGGGCAAGAAGCGCGCGAGAATTTTCAGTATTCTCTGACAAACCTTCTATAAACTTGAAACTGCTCTTAGAAAATAGTTTATTAAAAATAAAAACCTGAAAAAATAAACAAATAGAGTTTTGGTGACCGGTGGTCTAACATTCTATTGGAGTTACAGAAGGAGGAGAGAGAGAAGTCAGACAAGAATAACCATTTGAAGGCTAATGCCTAAAAATGTTCCAATTCTGATGAAAAACATTAACTGACAGATTCAAGAATCTAGAACGAACAAACAAAAAATAATCCAAGCAGAAGGAATACAAAGAAAACCACATTTGGGCATATTATCAAATGGTTGAAAACCAGTGATAAAAGGGAAAAAACAACCTAAGAAATGACACACTATGCACAGAGGAATGAAGATAACAATTCTCATTAGAAACTATGAAATCAGGCTTCTCCGGTGGTCCAGTGGTTGAAGATCTCCCTGCCAATGCAGGAGACACGAGTTCAGTCCCTAGTCTAGGAAGATTCCATGTGCCATGGAGCAATGAAGTTCACGCACCACAGCCACCAAGCCAGTGCTCCACAGCCCGAGTCACAACTTCTAAGCCCATGCACTGCCCCCAAGAGCCTGAGCTCTGCAACAAGGAAGTCATCACACGAGAAGCCCACAAGCTACAACTACTATAGTCCCCAGCCTCCACAACTGGAGAAAGCCCAGGCACAGCAATGAAGACCCAGCACAGCCAAAAGTAAATAAATAAATCTTAAAAAAATAAATCAACTAGAATTTTATACCCAGTGAAACTATCCTTCAACAGTGGTGGTGAAATAAAGCCTTTTCCAGACAAATACATGCTAAGAGAATTCCCAGCATACTTTAAAAAGCACTAGAAATGGTAAAAATGTGGATAAATATATATTGCTTCTTGTTTCTTAATTTTCTTTAAAGGAAAATTGATTATTTAAAGGAGAAACAGAAACAATATATTCTGAGCAACATAACACACACAGAAATAAAATATATGAAAACTTCAGCACAAAGGGGGACAAATGGAATCATTATATATAGGATCTTATATTACATGTGAAATGTTTTCATGCTAATTCATGATAGACTGTAGTAAGTTAAGAATACATAACTTTAACCTATACAGTAGCTACTAAAAAGGAGAAGGGGAAAAATACCTGGAGAAAGAAAAGTCAGCAAAATTTAAGAAGAAACCACTAGGGAATAGGGAACTTAAAAAATATTTTTAGTTGAAAGATAATGAAAATATAAAATGGCAAAACCTGTGGGATGCAGGTAAAGCACAGTTTAAAGGGAACTTCATATTTTTTAATCATAATATATTACATTTAAAAACAAATTTAAAGTTTTAAAATCAATAATCTAAGTTTCCAACATCCAAAGCTAGGGAAAAAATAACAGATTAAATCCTACATTAGTAGAAGGAAGGAAATAATAAAGATGAAGTGGAAATCAATGAAATAGAAAATAAAAGTTTTTATAAAGATTTATTTTTTAAAATATATAAAATTTATAAAGTGACATGTAGGTTGATAGTTTTAAAAAGAGCACAAATACAATTTACTAGTATCAGGGATGAAAGAGGGGACATCTCTAAAGACACAAGAGAAACAGATAATATGAGTAGCCAAATCTGTTATAAACAAACTGAATTCATAATTAAAAACCACTATATACTTAAAGAAAACTTCAGTTCCATATAGCATCTATCAAATTTGAACTCTATCAAACATTTAAGGAGGTAATAATACTATTCTTATACAAGGTATTTCAGAAATAGAAGGAATCTTCCCAACTAATTTTATGAGGTCAAACAAAACCATAATACCAAAATAAGACATTGTAAGAAAATTACAAACCAAGATCGCTTAAGGACGAAGTCACAAAAATTAAGTGAAATCTTTGCAAGTTGAATCAAGCAATATAGAAAAATGATACTACATCAAGATTGACTGGGGCCTATATCAGGAATGCAATGTTGGTTAACACTTGAAAATCAAAGAATGTAACTTACCATGTTAACAGAAGAAATGAGAAAAATCATATGACCCTTTCACTAGATGTATAAAAAGCAAACCGCAAAATCATTCACAGTAAAAGTTTTCAGCAAAATAAGAATAGAAAGTAATTTCCACATTTGATAAGGGATAACTAAGAGATGGCTGGATGGCATCACCGACTCGATGGACATGAGTTTGAGTAAACTCTGGGAGTTGGTGATGGACAGGGAGGCCTGGAGTGCTGTGATTCATGGGGTCGCAAAGAGTTGGACACAACTGAGCGACTGAACTGAAATGAACTGAACTATGAAAAACCTAGAGATAATAGTCTAGTGAAAGACTAGCATCTTTCTCCCAATGATCAGAAACAAAACAAGGATGTCAGTCTTTATCACTTCTAATTAACACTGTACTAGCTACAATAACCAGTGCAAGAAAGTGCAAAAAATAAAAGCCATGAAAGTTGGAAAGGAAAAAATAAAACTTTATTCACAGATGACATGATTATGTATATAGAAAATCCCTAGAAAATACTGAGTTGCAGAAATATACTTGATCTCTCTTTGTCAATTGTTTGTTGACCAAGGTGCCCAGTCAATTCAATGAGAGAAAAGAAATCTTTTAACAAATGGTGCTGGGACAATTGGGAATCCACATGGAAAAAATTTAACGTTGAATAATTTTCTCTCACTATACAAAAATTAATCCCAGATGGGTCACAGAACAAAATGAAAATTAAGAGCTTTTAGAAGAAAATATTTTGGAAAATACTTTGATAGTTTCTTATAAAAATACACCTACCCCATGGTTCAGTAATTCTACTATTAGATATTTATCCAAGAGAAATTAAAACATATGGTCACAAAAAGTTTGTACAAGAATGTTTGAAGTATCTTTACTTATAAGACCTCCAAACTGGAAAGAGGTCAAATATCCATCAAACGAAAAATGGATAACCAAATTGTGGCATATCTATATAATGAAATTCTACACAGCAATAAAAGGAATGAACTACTGATACATGTAACAACATGGATTAATCTAAACAACTTTATTTTAAACCAAAGAACCAGACATAAAAAGAACATTTTCTAGCATCCAATTTATATGAAGTTCTAGGACAGGTAAAATTAATCTGAAGTAAAATAAATCAGAATAGTAGTTGCACTGTTGGGAGTGGGGAGAGAGCAGGGAGTAACTTGGCAGAGATATAAGAAAATTTCTGGGATTATAAAAATGTTCTGTTACTGGGTAGGACTATAGATAACATGAGCATATTCATTTATCAATAATCACTGAACTACTGTATATTGTCACCTTGCTTATTTAACTTACATGCAGAGAACATCATGTGAATAGCCAGGCTGGATGAAGCACAAGCTAGGCTCAAGACTGCCAGGAAAAATATCAATAACCTTAGACACCACCCTTATGGCAGAAAGCAAAGAAAAACTAAAGAGCCTCTTGAAAGTGAAAGAGAAAAGTGAAAAAGCTGGCTTAAAATGCAACATTCAAAACACTAAGATCATGGCATCTGGTTCCATCACTTCACTGCAAATAGATGGGGAAAAAGTGGAAACAGTTGACAGATTTTATTTTCCTGGGCTCCAAAATCACTGCAATGGTGACTGTAGCCATGAAATGAAAAGACACTTGCTCCTTGGAAGAAACATTATGACCAACCTAGACAGCATATTTTAAAAGTAGACATTTTGTTTTGTCGGCAAAACAAAACATCTTGTTTTGCCGACAAAGGTCTGTCTAGTCAAAACTATGGTTTTTCCAATAGTCATGTACAGATGTGAGAGTTGGACCATAAAGAGAGCTGAGCACCAAAGAATTGATGCTTTTGAACTGTGGTGTTGGAGAACACTCTTGAGAGTCCCTTGGACAGCAAGGAGATCAAACCAGTCAATCCTAAAGGAAATCAGTCCTAAATATTCACTGGAAGGACTGACGCTGAAGCTCCAATACTTTCGCCATCTGATATGAAGAACTGGCTCATTGGAAAAGACTCTGATGCTGGGAAAGATTGAAGGCAGGAGGAGAAGGAGATGGCAGAGGATGAGATGGTTGGATGGCACCACCCCAACTTGATGGACATGAGTTTGAGCAAGCTTCGGGAATTGGTGAAGGACATGGAAGCCTGGCGTGTTACAGTCCATGGGGGTCACAAAGAGTCAGACATGACTGAGCAACTGAACTGAACTGATAGACTTAAGACCCGTGCATTTAACTGGCTGCAAATTATACTTTAAAAAAAACATTCTAAAAATGGTTAAAACTCACTCATCTACAATATTTATCCAGGATAGGAATTTCTAGTTTTTTTTTAACAAGACAAAATGTGAATAGATGACTAGGTGCCAAGTAGTATATTGTGCTTTTAATTGGCATTTCCCTGTGACTTCTTTTATCCTGCAAAATGCCTCTTCATAACTTGGCCCATTTTTCTACCACTGCTTTATACTTTTTGTATCTTGCTTAAGAAATCTCTCCTAATTCCAAGGTCATAAAGGCATTATTCTGTATTTTCTTCTAAAAATTCCAAAGTTAACATATAAGTCTTTAATCCATCTGGAAATTATTTTTGTGTATGATGTGAGGTAGGCATCCAATTTCTTTCTCTTTTTCTCACATAGATAATCAATTTCCCCTAAATATCTACTGAAGTCTAGCATTTCATCAATGTTATGCAATGGCATCCTTGTTTTATATTGGCTTTCCATATAAGTGGGTCTGACTATACCCTAATCCTTTATTCTGGCTGTCAGTCCATACAAATATCATGTTAATTTTGATAGTATCAATATGTCATAGGGTAAGACCTCATCTTATTCTTCTTCAGAATAGCTTGGCTACTTTTGGACCTTTCCTTTTCATATGAATTTTTGAATCAAGTTTTCCAGTTCCTTGAGAAACCTATTAAATACTTGGCCCATTAAAATCCAATACTGACTGGTACTTTTACCCATTTTCAACATAAAGCAAAGATCCTTCTTAGAACACTTAAACTATATTTACCACTTCTAATTTATAATTTTATTCTCATTAATTTTAATCCTTTATATATATAAATATATAAAATAAAACATAGTTATATATTTATTTACCTATATATTTACCATCTTCATTGTTCTTCATTCCTTGCATCTCTGACCTTCCATCTAAGATACTCTTCCTTCATCTGAATGATACCTTCAGTGTTTCCTTTAGAATGTATCTCCTAGTAGCAAACTACCTCAGATTTGGTCAGTCTTAAAATGTCTTCACTTCACCTTTATTTCTGGAGGATATTTTCACCAGGCATTGGACTCTAGACTGACAGTTATTTTTTTTTAATATCTTAATTATAATCAGTTTGTTTTCTTCCAGATTCAGTATTTTCTATTGAGAAGTCAGCTGTCAATTTAATTGTTGTCTTTTTGAAAATAACCTTTTTATTTTCCCCAACAGCTTTTAGGATTTTATTCTTGTCTTATTATTTATTTTATTTCTTTTTATTTTTCCTGCTTTGGTTTTATAGGATTTCTTAAATTTGTGGTGTGATTATTTTTTGTCAATTTTTTAAACTTCCCAGCCATTATATCTTCAAATATTGTTTCTGTCCTATTCTCTCTCTTTTCCTTTTGGAATTCCAATCACACATAAATTTGACCTCACTCTAACTTATGTCTCTTGCTCTCTTTTCTAAACTTACCATCGTTTTGTCTCTTCATTGATCTGGATGGTTTCATCTTCGAATTCACTAATTATCTCCTCTGATCTGCTAGATGCACCATTAAGTTCTCAATTCCATTTACTGTATTTTTTACAATATTGTAATTTTTATTTGGTTCCTTCTCAAATCTGCTCTGCCATTTTATGGTTTCTAATGTTCTGCTGAAAATTTGATCCTATTTTCTATCTCCTTGATTATAGCAAGTGTAATTATTTTAAAGTCTGTGTCTTCCAGAGCCAGGATCTAGCTCGAGCTAACTTGTGAGAGTGTTTATATATAGTCTGTTATGTATGCCATTTCTTTTGATGGTGTTTTATCTCCTTCTGCCTGGTTATCTTTCATTAAAAAGTTTCTCACTGTATAGAAGAAAGGTTTATAGAAATAATTTGAGGACCCTGGGAACATTAGCCATCAAGGATCACTTTAATCCAATTTCAGGGACTAAGATTTTCTAGATTACTCTAATAATCTAGAGCTGAGCTATAATTTGGTTTCCTTCTTGTTCATCATTACAAAGCATTCAGAGCACAGAATATTTACCAGGGTTCCTACCCTTGGCAGATCCTGAACTCTAACTTCTTTAGCCCCATAATGATGGCTTGCAAAAGCACTATTTAGCCTTTCAACTGACTCTTCTGGAATCAAAAATGTCCTGAAAACAAAGGGACCCAAAACCAACCACTCTGGAGGTCAACTTCTTTGAATTTAAGTATGCACACAGATTTCTGAATTGGTGACCTTTCATCACCTTGTTAACTCTCCACCACTTCTGTGTATTTTCTTTTCTTCCTTTCTTTCTCCCTCCATCCCTTCCCTCTTACTTTTTTAATATTCTGTCCAGGGTTTGTGTTTTCCTCTATAGAAAAGTTGATTCAAATGACTTAGCGTGCATCACTGTAACTGGAAATTTCCTATATACAGCTTCGTATCCTATTTAAATTACAATATGACAATCTTCCCATGATATTAAATATTCTTCAAAAACATATATTACTGTAGAAAATATAGTCACCTGTTGTTCTAGGATCATATTCTTCTCTCGTTCTACATTGAGAACCATTCTCTTTGTATATTCTAGTTGCTTCTCTAGGAGGATGCAGCGAGACTGGGCTGAGCTTAACTGCATACTTATATCTATGAAAAAGAAAAAGTAATAATCAATATCAGAGAGTTATCACAAGAAATGTATTATATGAATTCAATCAAAAGCCAGAAGTTTAAAACTTCTTTACTTCTAAATAATGACTCTTCTGAAATTATTAACATAAATTTTGTGAATATCTCATTAATTATATATAACTAATTTAACACTGACTCATAAAAACCTAGAGAGTATACTTCTGAAAGGGAAGGATGTCAGTGACTTGTGGGATCACAAAAACCTGACTATTCCTGGGAAATAACACCATCTGGAAAACAGAAGACCTAAGGGAACATTTCATACAAAGATGGGCACAATAAAGGAGAGAAATGGTAAGGACCTAACAGAAGCAGAAGATATTAAGAAGAGGTGGCAACAATACGCAGAGAACTACACAATAAAGAGCTTCATTACCCAGATAATCATGACGGTGTGATCACTCACCTAGTGCCAGACATCCTGGAATACGAGGTCAAGTGGGCCTTAGGAAGCATCACTATGAACAAAGCTAGTGGAGGTGATGGAATTCGAATTGCGCTATTTCAAATTCTAAAAGATGATGCTGTGAAAGTGCTGCACTCAAAATGCCAGCAAATTTGGAAAACTCAGCAGGGGCCACAGGAGTGGAAATGGTCAGTTTTCATTCTAATCCCAAAGAAGGGCAATGCCAAAGAATGCTCAAACTACCGCACAATTGTACTCATCTCACACACTAGCAAAATAATGCTCAAAATTCTCTAAATGAGGCTTCAATAGTACATGAACTGTGAACTTCCGGTTGTTCAAGCTGGATTTAGAAAATGCAGAAGAACCAGAGGTCAAATTGCCAACATCCACTGATCATCGAAAAAGCAAGAGAGTTCCAGAAAAACATCTACTTCCGCTTTGTTGACTATGTCGAAGTTTTGACTGTATGGATCACAACAAACTGTGGAAAATTCTGAAAGAGATGGGAATACCAGACCATCTGACCTGCCTCCTCAGAATTCTGTATGCAGGTCAAGAACCAACAGTTAGAACTGGACATGGAACAACAGACTGGTTCCAAATTGGGAAAGGAGTATGTCAAGACTGTGTATTATCACCCTGTTTATTTAACTTATACGCAGAGTACATCATGAAAAAAGCTGGACTGGAGGAAGCAAAAGCTGGAAACAAGACTGCCAGGAGAAATAGCAATAACCTCAGATATGCAGATGATACCACATTTATGGCAGAAAGTGAAGAGGAACTAAAGAGCCCCTTGACAAAAGTGAAAGAGGAAAGTGAAAAAATTGGCTTAAAACTCAACATTCAGAAAACAAAGATCATGGCATCTGGTCCCATCACTTCAGGGCAAATAGATGGGGAAACATAGAAACAGTGAGAGACTTTATTTTTTTTTTCCATTTATTTTTATTAGTTGGAGGCTAATTACTTTACAATATTGTAGTGGGTTTGTCATACATTGACATGAATCAGCCATAGATTTACATGTATTCCCCATCCCATTCCCCCTCCCACCTCCCTCTCTACCTTATTCCTCTGGGTCTTCCCAGTGCACCAGCCCCAAGCACTTGTCTCATGCATCCAACCTGGGCTGGTGATCTGTTTCACTATAGATAATACACATGTTTTGATGCTGTTCTCTCGAAACATCCCACCCTCGCCTTCTCCCACAGAGTCCAAAAGTCTGTTCTTTACATCTGTGTCTCTTTTTCTGTTTTGCATATAGGGTTATCGTTACCATCTTTCTAAATTCCATATATATGTGTTAGTGTACTGAAATGGTCTTTATCTTTCTGGCTTACTTCACTCTGTATAATGGGCTCCAGTTTCATCCATCTCATTAGAACTGATTCAAATGAATTGTTTTTAATGGCTGAGTAATATTCCATGGTGTATATGTACCACAGCTTCTCAAAAAATGGGCCAAAGAACTAAACAGACATTTCTCCAAAGAAGACATACAGATGGCTAACAAACACATGAAAAGATGCTCAACATCACTCATTATCAGAGAAATGCAAATCAAAACCACAATGAGGTATCATTACACGCCAGTCAGGATGGCTGCTATCCAAAAGTCTACAAGCAATAAATGCTGGAGAGGGTGTGGATAAAAGGGAACCCTCTTACACTCTTGGTGGGAATGCAAACTAGTACAGCCGCTATGGAGAACAGTGTGGAGATTTCTTTAAAAACTGGAAATAGAACTGCCATATGACCCAGCAATCCCACTTCTGGGCATACACACCGAGGAAACCAGATCTGAAAGAGACATGTGCACCCCAATGTTCATCGCAGCACTGTTTATAATAGCCAGGACATGGAAGCAACCTAGATGCCCATCAGCAGATGAATGGATAAGAGAGACTTTATTTTTGGGGGCTCCAAAATCGCTGCAGATGGTGGCTGCAGCCATGAAATTAAAAGACGCTTACTCCTTGGAAGAAAAGTTACGGCTATCCTAGACAGCATATTAAAAAGCAGAGACGTTACTTTGCCAGCAAAGATCCATCTAGTCAAAGCTATGGTTTTTCCAGTAGTCATGAATGAATGTGAGAGTTGGACTATAAAGAAATCTGAGAGCTGAAGAACTGATGCTTTTGAACTGTGGTGTTGGAGAAGACTCTTGAGAGTTCCCAGGACAGCAAGGAAATCCAACCAGTCCATCCTAAAGGAAATCAATCCTGAATATCATTGGAAGGACTGATGCTGAAGCTGAAGCTTCAATACTTTGGCCACCTGATGCGACTGACTGACTCATTTGAAAAGACCCTGATGCTGGGAAAGATTGAGGGCAGGAGGAGAATGGGACAAAAGAGGATGAGATGGTTGGATGGCATCACAACTCTATGGCCATGAGTTTCAGTACGCTCCAGGAGTTGGTGATGGACAGGGTAGCCTGGTGTGCTGCAGTCCACAGGGTAGCAAAGAGTCGGACACGACTGAGCAACTGAACTGACTGGAAGTCTCTTCCCTAATGTGTATATTTATATAATATAAAATAATAAATATATTTCTTCTCTTTCAGAAAACTCAGATATATGCATTCTACCATTTCCAGTTTCCTTATGTCTCAACTACTGATCACATAGTTAATTCTGTAAGAAGTAAGCAACCTCATTCTAATTCTTTAGCTTCCTTGGCTCTTTATTCTGTGTTCGTTCAGTTACCTCAGGACTTTTCTTTCTCCTCATTTTGTCTATTTTTAAGTTAAAACACAAACTTGAACCTTGTTTATGAGGGTGATATAGTGTTACAGGAGGAAAAAATGCCACAGTTTTGAAGTGTACTTTATATATAACTTATGTTCTAAATCTCTAAAATTTGTGTCCAGAAGTCCTTTTCCTAACTTCCTCAGAAAGCACCTACCTGTCCACTTCTTCCAATTAATCTTTTAAGTTATTTTTATTGTTTTATTTTTATATTATTTAACTACTAGTATTGCTTTTATTTTCAAATTTTTAAAAAACTATTAAAAATAGGAAGCATTTAAATTATATTGCAGGCTAATAATATATATGATAATAATATATAAGATATGATAGTATATTGCCTTTCTCAAAGAAAGGCAATGCCAAAGAATGCTCAAACTACTGCACAATTGTACTCATCTCACATGCTAGTAAAGTAATTTTTTAAAATTCTCCAAGCCAGGGTTCAACAATACATGAACCATGAACTTCCAGATGTTCAAGCTGGTTTTAGAAAAGGCAGAGGAACCAGAAATCAAATTGCCAACATCTGCTGGATTATCAAAAAAGCAAGAGAGTTCCAGAAAATCATCTATTTCTGCTTTTGACTGTGTGGATCACAATAAACTGTGGAAAATTCTGAAAGAGATGGGAATACCAGACCATCTGACCTGCCTCCTCAGAAATCTGTATGCAGGTCAGGAAGCAACAGTTAGAAATGGACATGGAACAACAGACTGGTTCCAAATAGGAAAAGGAGTACGTCAAGGCTGTATATTATCACCCTGCTTATTTAACTTCTATGCAGAGTACATCATGAGAAACGTTGGGCTGGAGGAAGCACAAGCTGGAATCAAGATTGCCAGGAGAAATATCAATAACCTCAGATATGCAGATGATACCACCCTTATGGAAGAAAGCAAAGAAGAACTAAAGAGCCTCTTGATGAAAGTGAAAGAGTGAAAAAGTTGGCTCAAAGCTCAACATTCAGAAAACTAAGATCATGGCATCTGGTCCCATCACCTCATGGGAAATAGATGGGGAAACAGTGGAAACAGTGGCTGACTTTATTTTTTGGGGCTCCAAAATCACAGTACATGGTGACTGCAGCCATGAAATTAAAAGACGCTTACTCCTTGGAAGGAAAGTTATGACCAACCTAGACAGCAAATTAAAAAGCAGAGACGTTACTTTGCCAACAAAGGTCCGTCTAGTCAAGGCTATGGTTTTTCCAGTGGTCATGTATGGATGTGAGAGTTGGACTGTGAAGAAAGCTGAGTGCCAAAGAATTGATGCTTTTGAACTGTGGTGTCGGAGAGGACTCTTTGTGAGTCCCTTGGACTGCAGGGAGATCCAACCAGTCCATCCTGGAGGAGATCAGTCTTGGGTGTTCATTGGAAGGACTGGTGCTGAAGCTAAACTCCAATATTTTGGCCACCTCTATGCGAAGAGTTGACTCATTGGAAAAGACCCTGATGCTGGGAGGGACTGGGGGCAGGAAGAGAAGGGGACGTCAGAGGATGAGATGGTGGATGGCATCACCAACTCAATGGACATGGGTTTGGGTAAACTCTGGGAGTTGGTGATGGACAGGGAGGCCAGGCGTGCTGCAGTTCACAGGGTGGCAAAGAGTCGGACATGATTGAGCAACTGAACTGAACTGAATAATACATGAATTCTGTTGGTATTCTGAAAATATTATAATTCCTAAATACAACTTGCCTAAAAACTTAATTTTTCTTTTAATCTCAATAATTTATGAACTGTGATAACAGATAATATACAGGCAAGTTTAAAATTATATCCATTTAGTGCAAATATCAAAATATCTGAGAACAAGCCTGCAAGGTTTGAATGCATATAAGAACAAAGATATTGAGTAAACCTTCTCAGATTGGGCTTTTTATTTTCAAGTTGTAAACTTTTGCAACCTCTTCCTCTGAGAATTACTGAATTTTCTTACCTTTTTTCTGCTTTATCAGTTCCTCATGTGCCAGATTTCTCTCACTTGTTTCATTCTCCAAGGCCTTTTTATATTGTGCCGCTTCTCTGGAAAGAATGTTCAGGTTATCTTCAGCTTGTGTTCTCTCTAACTCTAAACGATGAATCTTTTCCTGAAGAGTTTTTAATGCTAAAATAAGAGCTGTTGAAAAAATTTCCTTGATATTTTAAGTGAGAATTTTTGAGCACTTATAATCATAGCAGCATATAAAAGTGAGCAGTATATTTTTGCTAGTTAAGTAAAAAAAAAAAGTAATTTATATTCCTCATAAAAAAGAAAAATGACTAAAATTCTAAAGAGGGACAAATTCTAACATGTCTTATAAAAATAATATATTTATTATTTTTTTTTTCCATTTATTTTTATTAGTTGGAGGCTAATTACTTTACATCATTGCAGTGGTTTTTGTCATACATTGAAATGAATTAGCCATGGATTTACATGTATTCCCCATCGATTATATTTAGTAATTTTCTAAGTTTGAGATGTGAGAAAGCTAATAATCACATTTTAATTTAACAAAGCAAATATGTTCAAAACATATGCAAAAATGATATATATGTATGTGTGTGTGTGTGTGTGTGTGTGTATAGAGAGAGGGAGAGAGTTAGAGAGATAGGAGTGTGGGGAGGAAGGGAAGAAGTAGGTGAAGAAGGAAGGAAGAAAGGGAGGAAGGGAGAAAGGAGGGGAAGTTTGAGGCATACAAGTCTGAGAATGGATAAGGAAAATTAAAATATGCTGTTCACTAATTAACAAGGAAATTTAGGTTTAAAGTTAAAATTTTTTCTCAGTTCTTAATGTATTCAGTTTCAGTCAAATCACAAACATTTTTTGTCCAAGATATAATGTTAATTTTTAGGACATATGAGGTAGAACACTGCTTCTTCCATCAAGAAAAAATTACAACCTAGTGGTTTAACTGATGTCAGGCTTGAAAGATTGTGTTACACACGTACTACTATGATTATTATTCATATATTAATATCTTCATAATTCAGGTAACCTCAAGTTATAAAATTTTCAAATATTATATGTTCTTCTAAGTTACAACTTCAAATTGTAAAACTAGAGATGAATGGAATATAAATAAATGTTCAAGATTAACTTTCATATGGTTCATATCCAATTAGAAAGATATTTGTTAGAGATTATTGTTTGGTTTGGATTAATATTTCTTGTAGTTGCTTTGTTCCACAAAGCTATAGTCTATTTATAATGGCAAACATTATTATAAAAGATTAAAAAACATGACTATCCGTATCTTAGAAAGTAATGTATATGGTACAGGTATGCCTGGAATCATAAATGTTTTTCTAATTAAAATTTAAGATTCTCCTAAACTTATATTTTAAAAGTTATAATAATTGTATTTTGTAGTTACTCCAATGAACTGGATTCATGAAGAATTTTCAAGGGTAATTTCGGATATATGCAATTTCTGAATTTAACCCTTGACTAAGATTAAAATCAACTTAATTCTTTAATATTCTAGCCATCTTATTCATTAGAAGCATTCTCCAAATCTGACCTTTTATTCTTCAGAATATTTTCCTATTTTGAATGACATTTTAATGATAAACCTGCAATATGTGCCTAGCTGGTTATATTAATCTTCATCTTATAGCAAAGAAGCCAAAATAAAAAAATGTTAAGTAACTTAAATTTACAGAAACTTTAAGCAAGAGTCAAAATTAGCATTTTACTAAGATTAGTTAAATATACAATCATCTTATTTTCTACATAAACGTGAAGAGTTTTATATAACATGCTTCCTAATTCCCCTAATTTTAAATATGATTTTTTTATTAGCATTACCTTGGCTATTTGGACTACGAAGCATTTTAGAAGATGTAACTTCTAAGTTCACAGAGTAGCGAGTCTGAGATGATTCATCACTCTGGGTGACTGATGGAACACACACTCTTTCTGGAGGTTTAAGATAGCTTCCGACTATACTATGCATTAATTCAGAATCCATTATCTGTAGAGAATAAAGGAAAGACATAGTATAGCATCATTTTTTTTCCTATGTGGATAACAAAAATATCAGAAAAAATTCAGGTGGAACTTTTAACATAAATATATAATCATATACTGTGGAATTATGTCTTTATAAAGTTTATTATCACAAGTTCAACCATAATAAGCTCACCAGTAAAAGAAAAACATGACGATTTACTCTATAAACAGTATAGAAAATTCTGCCTGATTCTCAGAGTATATGCTCTTTAGTGAGCATTACATGAGTGGTGTGAATTTGCTGGTTTCTCACTTGACTGTAAGATCATCATCTGAGCATTCCTCTACAAAGAGTTTGACTCTAGCATTCAAACATAAAATACATATTCTAAAAGACAGCAAAGCTTTGAAACACAAGCCATTCATATAATATGATTCTCTAGATTTGAATATGACTTCCTATGGCATTTTTAAGGGTAATTTTGGATATATCAATTTCTGAATCTAAGCCTTGAATTCCACAACCCTATATACAAAGGATCATAAGAGACTACCACCAGCAGCTATATGCCAATAAAATGGACAACTTGGAAGAAATGGACAAATTCTTAGAAAAGTATAACTTTCCAAAACTGAACCAGAAAGAAATAGAAGATCTTAACAGAATCATCACAAGCAAGGAAATCGAAACTGTAATCAGAAATCTTCCAGCAAACAAAAGCCCAGGACCAGATGGCTTCACAGCTGAATTCTACCAAAAATTCAGAGAAGAGCTAACACATATCTTACTCAAACTCTTCCAGAAAATTGCAAAGAAGGTAAACTTCCAAACTCATTCTATGAGGCCACCATCACCCTAATTCCAAAACCAGACAAAGATGCCACAAAAAAAGAAAACTACAGGCCAATATCACTGATGAACATAGATGCAAAAATCCTTAACAAAATTCTAGCAAACAGAATCCAACAACATATTAAAAAAATGATACACCATGACCAAGCGGGCTTTATCCCAGGAATGCAAGGATTCTTTAATATCTGCAAATCAATCAATGTAATACACCATATTAACAAGTTGAAAGATAAAAACCATATGATCATCTCAATAGATGCAGAAAAAGCCATTGACAAAATTCAGCATCCATTTATGACAAAAACTCTCCAGAAAGCAGGAATAGAAGGAACATACCTCAACATAATAAAAGCTATATATGACAAACTCACAGCAAGCATTACCCGCAATGGTGAAAAATTGAAAGCATTTCCCTTAAAGTCAGGAACAAGACAAGGGTGCCCACTCTCACCACTACTATTCAACATAGTTTTGGAAGTGTTGGCCACAGCAATCAGAGCAGAAAAAGAAATAAAAGGAATCCAGATAGGAAAAGAAGAAGTAAAACTCTGTTTTCAGACGACATGATCTTCTACATAGAAAACCTTAAAGACTCTACCAGAAAATTACTAGAGCTAATCAATGAATACAGTAATGTTGTAGGATATAAAATTAACACACAGAAATCCCTTGCATTCCTATATACTAATAATGATAAAACAGAAAGAGAAACTAAGGAAACAATACCATTCACCATTGCAACAAAAAGAAGAAAATACTTAGGAGTATATCTACCTAAAGAAACAAAAGACCTATATATAATTATAAAACACTGATGAAAGAAATCAAAGAGGACACAAATAGATGGAGAAAGATACCGTGTTCATGGATTGGAAGAATCAATATTGTCAAAATGGCTATTCTACCCAAAGCAATCTATAGATTCAATGCAATCCCTATCAAGCTACCAATGGTATTTTTCACAGAACTAGAACAAATAATTTCACAATTTGTATGGAAATACAAAAAACCTCGAATAGTCAAATCAATCTTGAGAAAGAAGAATGGAACTGGAGGATCAACCTGCCTGACTTCAGCCTCTACTACAAAGCCACAGTCATCAAGACAGTATGGTACTGGCACAAAGACAGAAATATAGATCAATGGAACAGAATAGAAAGCCCAAAGATAAATCCAGATACCTATGGACACCTTATCTTCGACAAAGGAGGCAAGGATATACAATGGAAAAAAGACCATCTCTTTAACAGGTGGTGCTGGGAAAACTGGTCAACCACCTGTAAAAGAATGAAACTAGAACACTTTCTAACACCATACACAAAAATAAACTCAAAATGGATTAAAGATCTAAATGTAAGACCAGAAACTATAAAACTCCTCAAGGAGAACATAGGCAATTTAAATATTTTAGAAATGTATTCCACTTGATAGATTATAGTCAATGTTAAATAACCACACTGAAACAGAAAATTGTTTATATACAAAATAATTCAGCAGCACAATTTTTAAAAATAAAGTTGCTTTAAAATGTAAATTTATAATTTCTTTCTACAAATTAATCTACTTTAATTTTTGAGAATTGCAAATTTTCAGTGATTTCACTACCTTCCCAATTCACAAGGCAAGGGAAGACACTTCCATGACTGTGTTTCCTGTGATGGCAGAGAACATATTTCACTCAACAGGGTTTTATGCTTAGCCACTGCCATGATGTGTTGTCTTCAACGATATTCTTCATCAGTCTAGATTAGAAGTTATATAGCCTAGGAAGCTTTGCCAGAATACTTGATGCTCTTAAATCTTGAAAGGCAATCATTTTTCTATTGTTATCAGCACTGGCGACCATTTACTAACCATGTCTTTGTCTCTCTGGGTTCTTGCTCCTCAGACACTGTCTGCTCCCCATGGGAGATTGCATCTATCTAAACTGTTGTTCCCTCAAAAAATAAGAGAGCAAAGTTAGGTAGAGCCCCAAAGGGCAGATGTTCTGAACATGATTGTGCATCTTCAGAGAGAGGGTAGTGTTTAAAGCTATCCAAAGAACCTTGGAGTTACTCAAGATACTTGATTTAGTTTTCAGCTCCTGTTGAGTCTCTCCAATAATGAAAAGAATAAAATGTTGGATTAGTCACTATACACTGAAGTCCTTGGGAAGAGTGTCTGCTTCCTCTGTCCCAAATATGGTATTATTTTACTAGATGAATTTGCATGAATTAAAAAGCAATTTCAAATTCAAAGGTTTTAACTTATATGATTACTCAGAAGATACCAATAAATTAAAAATTAGACCAAAATTTATTTAAATTAAGTGTGTAAACACATCTGAAAGTAGGCATAAGCGGAATAACAACCCACTAGGTTATGAATGAAAAGAAAGGAAACAATAAGAGAAAAGAGCCATGAGTTCTCACTGTACTAGGGGTTCCAGCTTAAGCCTTACAACCTAGTCCTATATTATAACCGAGTGCTTAAAAACTGTTGTTCAGTTGCTAAGTCATGTTCGACTCTTTGCAACCTTCTGGACTATAGCATGCCAGGCTCCTCTGTCTTCCAGTATCTCCCTGAGTTTGCTCAAATTCATGTCCGTTGAGTCAGTGATGCTATCTAACCATCTCATCCTCTGCCACCTTCTTCTCCTTTTGCCTTCAATATTTCCTAGTGTCAGGGTCTTTTGCAATGAGTCAGTTCTTCACATCAGGTGGCCAAAGTATTGGAGCTTCAGCTTCAGCATCAGTCCTTCCAATGAATATTCAGGGTTGATTTCTTTAGGATTTACTGGTTTGATCTCCTTGCTGTCTGATGGACTCTCAAGAGTCTTTCCCAGCACCACAACTCGAAAGAATCAATTCTTCAGTGCTCAGCCTTCTTTATGGTCCAACTCCCAGATCCGTACATGACTCTGAAAAAACTACAGTTTAGAACAAACAGACTTTTGTTAGCAAAGTGATGCCTCTGCTTTTTAATATGCTATCTAGGTTTGTCATAGTTTTTCTTCCAAGGAGCAAGAGTCTTTTCATTTTAATGGCTGCAATCACTGTCTGTGGTGATTTTGGAGCCCAATAAAACCTGTCACTGCTTCCACTTTTGCCCCCCTTGTATTTGCCATGAAGTGATGGGACTGGATGCCATGAACTTAAGGTTGTTTGAATGTTGAGTTTCAAGCCAGCTTTTTCACTCTCCTCTTTTCATCAAGAGGCTCTTTAGTTCCTCTTTGCTTTCTGCCATTAGAGTGGTATCATCTGCATATCTGAGGTTGTTGATATTTCTTCTGGCAATCTTTATTCCAGCTTGTGATTCATCCAGCCTGGCATTTCACTGATGTACTCTGCATAGAAGTTAAATAAGCAGGGTGACAATGTACAGCCTTATTGTACTCCTTTCCCAATTTGGAATCAGTCAGTTGCTCTATGTCCAGTTTTAACTGTTGTGTTTTGACCTATATACAGATTTCTCAGGAGGCAGGTAAGATGGTCTGGTACTTCCTTCTCTTTAAGAATTTTCCACAGTTTGCTGTGATCCACACAGTTAAAGGTTTAAGCATAGTCAATAAAGCAGAAGTAGATGGTTTTTCTGGAACTCCCTTGCTTTCTCCATGATTCAACAAAATGTTGGCAATTTGATCTCTGGCTCCTCTGCCTTTTCTTAATCCAGCTTGAACATCTGCAAGTTCTCAGTTCACGTACTGCTGAAGCCTAGCTTGAAGGATTTTGAGCATAACCTTGCTAGCATATGAAAAGAGTGCAATTGTATGGCAGTTAGAACATTCTTTGGCATTGCTCTTCTTTGGGATTGAAACGAAAATTGACCTTTTCCAATCCTGTGGCCACTGCTGTTCTCCAAATTTTCTGGCATATTGAGTGCAGCACTTTAATAGCATCCTCTTTTAGGATTTGAAATAGTTCAGCTGAAATTCCATCACCTGCACTCGCTTTGTTTGTAGTAATGCTTCCTAAGGCCCATTTGACGTCACACTCCAGGATATCTGGCTCTAGATGAGTGACCACGCCATCATGGTTATCCGGGTAATTAAGACATTTTTTGTACAATTGTTCTGTGTATTCTTGCTATATCTTCTTAATCTCTTCTGTTTCATTTAGGTCCTTACCGTTTCTGTCCTTTATTGTGCCCATCCTTGCATGAAATGTTCCCTTGATATCTCCAATTTT